GTACAGCATGGGGATGTGCGAAATGTGGTGTGAGTACGACCCCCCCCCCTTTCGAATGGGGTTCAGGCACGACCCCACCTCCACCTCGAAGCGATGAGAGCATATAGTCGGCGAAAAAGTTGTCGAGGGGGTATACAATAACTATGCAACGTATATCCCACGGGCGTACAGAATGCATATAGTGCATATAAAAAAAAAATTAATACGACCCCCTTTTCCACAAGAAAAAATCAACTATCAAAATAAATTTGTCTTACAAATACGACCCCCCCCCTCCCCAGAGCAAAAGTACGACCCCCATGGGTTTGACACAACGATGCTGTACCCTGGTTGACGCTGCCGCAATGTATGAACGCAGCCTAAGCAGCCGTGATACCGCGCGTGTTGCCCTAGCAAGATGCCGCCACAGGGGAAAATGATCGCAAGAGATGATCTGTAGGATAAAGTCCGTACCGCAGTAAATGGAGAGGGCGTGTTCATGCAAACACTTACGAGCATGGAAACGACATCGCGCATATATTGCTGCCAGATTGAAAGAGAGACGACAGATCGCCCAGTTCTTTGCTCTTTTTCGTTTATATGCTATTAACATCACCACCCTAACACTTCACATATGCAGTGGCTCAAGATGTTGTCGCATTCACAAGTCCGTAGACACACCCTCTCCACGTGACGTGGCATGACTTGTACCTATATACCTCTTCAGCGTTATTTTACTGTTCCTTGCAAAACTTGTGATGTTCAGAATTTGACGAACGAGTGCACTTTGTGCAGGGCTGGTCAACTTCTTCCTCAACACTTTTTGTATCGGTAGCCATTTCAAATTAACACCCTATAAAAAAGGTTCATAAAATATAAGATAGTTGAATGGCTTCATGAAGGCACACCTGTATACGATCGTCGAGATCAAAGAATCGAACTGTTACTAGAAAAGCAGTTTCGTCGTGAATTACAGGAATATAATGCAGTTGGCCAATATTACTCAGATTGAGAAGCGATCGCATTGCAGACACTGCGTTCATCAGCTTCGAGCGGAAACTAAATACAGTAAAATCATTCATTGTAGTCTTCTACTAGATTCTGTTGTATTTATGGTTCCTAGACATAAGGTCGCTGTCGGCGTGTCATGTGGGGGCACTGATTCGACACCAGCTCGTTCCCACCGATCGCTGCCACCATGGGCAGGCAGCTTTTAATGGAAGCAGCTTGGTGCCGCGCCAAACACAGTACACAGAAACGCCTTTACATGAAGTGGTGAAGGCCACTACGCTTGTGAGAACATTCTTATACTCGAAATCCCTGAGATCGGGTAGGCGTGGCTGCGTACTTGATTTTAAAATGGCGGCGGCCCAGGTTTTCGTGAGATATTGTCATTTTGGAGCTCTCGTCTACATCTAACACAGAACAAGATAGCAGTTGTTTCAAATGAAGTATCCCACGAGAAACCCGTCCTATGCCATGCTCAAAAGCCACGCCTACTCCGTTTCAGGGATAAATAGACCTATGGGCAAAGCAGGCCTGCAGCTAATGAAAAAAAACCAATCGTATTGGAGCGCGCGCCTTGTCTCCTGGACAAATAGCGTTCCTTCATCACGTTAAGGTCGAGTGAGGTTGTCTCCCCCCCTCCCCACGCCCCTGAAGCGCAACACATTCAAATGGTAAGAGTGGCCCCGGTAGCGTCATGGATAACGCAACCGCCCGGTAAGCAGGAGATGCGAGTTCGAGATCAGTCCCGAGGTCCGACTTTTGCCCATATCTCAGCATTCTTGTGATAGCTTTGAATGGATCTCGGTCTCGGCGCAAGGTCAATTCACAGGGGGGGGGGCGAAGAAAGAGACTTTTCTTTCTTGACTTTCGAGTCGCTATAAGTTACACATATTGTTCGGACATTTGTACCACCATATTAAAGAGCACATTAAATACTATCACGATACTCCGCCACAGCCTTCTGGACGAGCGCCATCGAGAGATTCTGGCACGCGACCGTGATTCGGTGCCTGATTGTGAGATCTGCGGAATAATTGATTTCTCCGCCATTTTTGACCACCATAATGAGCTCCGCCCATACCAGGTAATTGATTTAGGTCAGGTGAAATGCTTGGATATTCCATCTTCTTCAGGTACTCAACGCCCTTCCATTCCAAGTAGGCGAGAGTTTTTCCAACGCCCTTCGATTCCATGTGGTGTCACCCAATCCTGTAGCAGTACAAAGTTTCCAAGAAGGTACGGGCGACGACATGGAGGATATTCTTCTCGAGTTGCTCGATGTAACCGCCAGCGCTCCTTCAGTCCGGGGTCCACGAAGAAAATATCGGTCTTTCCATTCCAGGTACGTCCGGTCCATACCATCAACGCGCCTTGGCGACTGCGGTGAAGATGATGTCCTAGACCGTAGCGACGTTGTCGGAGCTGCTCGATGTTGGAGGTCTTCCAGAGAGAGTACTGGTCTCCAGGTAGCTATCCATGGGTGACTCCATACTAGAAGTTTCGCAGCTGTTTGGAGGTGACATGAATTCCAAAGGTCTTCTCCAGTCAGGCTGCGACTGGAGATGACTTCATATTTTGGTGTACATGAAGGTGATGGGCGAGAGCCAGCTCCTGCTTATCGAGGAACATCTTGGGTATCTTCCGCCCTGGTACTCGTATCCACGTCCTCTGTCTGGGCTGCGAAAACTTTGCTGATATGACTCGGTCGAAGTGTCTTTTTTTGCCCCCCCCCTGTACATAGCCCAAGCTATTTGTGCTTCTGGTAGTTCAGATGCAATGGACTTGCAGCACGGTTGTTACTCCCGGAAACGAGAGGTCATGTGAAAGGGCAAGACTAGAGTACAGCCAGACCAGCCTTTTCCACCTACTGTTGCGGCAAAAGATGAAATCCAGGATAAAAAGGGCGCTCTAGCTCAACTCCAATTCAGGCCCCGTTAGCCAGATTGGGTTAAATTCATTATGAATATATAAGTATAGCTGGAACTGTTTCGAGACAAAAAAGAAAGCTAAGAAAAAGAAAAAAGAAAGAAGAAAAGAAAAAGAGCTTCAAAGTTGTAAAGTTTCAGCGGTGTCATCGCGCGCGGTGGGTCGTTCGCCCAGTGACCACCGCACGCGCGGTGATATACAGTCATATCCCTGCAAGTGATAGGGCTGTGACAAGGCGATCCTTCACCAATGATGAGTAGTCCGCAACCGTTGGCGGGAAGGCTGTCTTAGCTGCGATCCAACTACGCCTACTCACACGCCCTATCGTTTTAGAGACCACGATTAGGTGCTGCAACTTCGGGAGTGACCTATAATTCCATGAAAATCTTATAGTACTGACGTCAAACATTCGCTGTTATCGTTATTGTTGGAATTTGAGTCGATAAGACCACTGATATATTCCCAGCACCACGACATCTTAATAAGCCAGTGATGATGTTCACCTGATATGGTTGTGACGGCGTCGTCAACCTGTAACGCGATGGTTTTTTTAACTGGTTTCTATAATAACCTAGAGTTAACTTACACATAACGTTGGGATGCCGTCATCGTTCGTGCATAGAATTTTACCGTTTTTGTAGATTATTGACGCAAGATAAAGACCTCTGAAAAGTCGCATGGCTACTAAGCAAGCCTGAAAGTGAAGCAGGCACGGACAGGATACAGCATAGTGGTGTGTGACATGGTGGTGCCATACGACCCCTCGCCCCTCGTGGAGGAGAAGTCATGGTACACACCCCCCCCCCTTTCCCCAACACCTAGCTACCGAGTACCCACCTTATCCAGTTTTCCCACCCAGAGATCTTCGTCGAACGAGGGGGGGGGGATTATAGCCAATATGAAACGGTTAAACGGGAAAATTTCTTACATTCCCCAACCTCCTACCTTTTTTCTGAAATTTCTCGAGAAGATTCTCCTACTTTTACCAGGAAATTTTGCTGTCGAGCGGTGCAGCGGGGGTCGATATATGTACCCACGCGGGCACCCACGCGAAAAGCCAGCAACCGGAAAAACCTTTTCCCAACGCGGCAAATTTATCTCCTCAAGGCCACATACAGCTCCCCTCTCCCAACAACGACCAAACAGAACCCCCCCCTCTCAAATCGAGAAGTACGACCTCTTAGTGTTTCACATAACGGTGCTGTACCGTGGCACGGAAAGTAGTAGCCGCCAGGGAGCGCCGATTGGGTCATCGCGCGTCGCATCTGCTGTCGCTGCAGCGACGTCGTGAGCATTTTGAACTTTGAGAGCTCTTTTAACGCACCGCGTCAAGACATGTCAGAGTCCGAGTACCACAGTTAGCTGCTTACCTTGTCGTATTTTCACGAATTTCGTTGTTCCACTGGTTATTTTTTTTATTCCATTTTTCTTCTTTGTCATGAGATCGTCACTTGTGGAGAACACTGAAATGGGTGATTTAGAAAAAAATCGGCCACCAGGTCTGATTATAGATGACGAGTCCATCAAGCCTCAAGGTTCTATGTCCATTCAACGCTCATCACAGGCCCTGCCGTTGCAGAGGTCATGAATATATACAGTTGGCATCACAGCAATCAGTCGGGTCGACCTCCAGAAGGAGGGGTTGACCGCACGTGAGGCATTGTCACCACTGGTTGTTTTCTTTCTGAATCCATCACTAGACGGCCACCATTGGTGGAACATCTAAATTCATTATGAATATATAAGTATAGCTGGAACTGTTTCGAGACAAAAAAGAAAGCTAAGAAAAAGAAAAAAGAAAGAAGAAAAGAAAAAGAGCTTCAAAGTTGTAAAGTTTCAGCGGTGTCATCGCGCGCGGTGGGTCGTTCGCCCAGTGACCACCGCACGCGCGGTGATATACAGTCATATCCCTGCAAGTGATAGGGCTGTGACAAGGCGATCCTTCACCAATGATGAGTAGTCCGCAACCGTTGGCGGGAAGGCTGTCTTAGCTGCGATCCAACTACGCCTACTCACACGCCCTATCGTTTTAGAGACCACGATTAGGTGCTGCAACTTCGGGAGTGACCTATAATTCCATGAAAATCTTATAGTACTGACGTCAAACATTCGCTGTTATCGTTATTGTTGGAATTTGAGTCGATAAGACCACTGATATATTCCCAGCACCACGACATCTTAATAAGCCAGTGATGATGTTCACCTGATATGGTTGTGACGGCGTCGTCAACCTGTAACGCGATGGTTTTTTAACTGGTTTCTATAATAACCTAGAGTTAACTTACACATAACGTTGGGATGCCGTCATCGTTCGTGCATAGAATTTTACCGTTTTTGTAAATTATTGACGCAAGATAAAGACCTCTGAAAAGTCGCATGGCTACTAAGCAAGCCTGAAAGTGAAGCAGGCACGGACAGGATACAGCATAGTGGTGTGTGACATGGTGGTGCCATACGACCCCTCCCCCTCTGGAGGGAAGGTCATGGTACGACACCCCCTCCCCCTTTCCCCAACACCTAGCTACCGAGTACCCACCTTATCCAGTTTTCCCACCCAGAGATCTTCGTCGAACGAGGGGGGGGGGATTATAGCCAATATGAAACGGTTAAACGGGAAAATTTCTTACATTCCCCAACCTCCTACCTTTTTTCTGAAATTTCTCGAGAAGATTCTCCTACTTTTACCAGGAAATTTTGCTGTCGAGCGGTGCAGCGGGGGTCGATATATGTACCCACGCGGGCACCCACGCGAAAAGCCAGCAACCGGAAAAACCTTTTCCCAACGCGGCAAATTTATCTCCTCAAGGCCACATACAGCTCCCCTCTCCCAACAACGACCAAACACGACCCCCCCCCTCTCCAATCGAGAAGTACGACCCCTCTATGTGTTTCACATAACGGTGCTGTACCGTGGGCACGGAAAGTAGTAGCCGCCAGGGAGCGCCGATTGGGTCATCGCGCGTCGCATCTGCTGTCGCTGCAGCGACGTCGTGAGCATTTTGAACTTTCGCAGAGCTCTTGAACGCACCGCGTCAGCATGTTCAGAGTCCGGTACCACAGTTAGCTGCTTACCTTGTCGTATTTTTCACGAATTTCGTTGTTCCACTGGTTATTTTTTTTATTCCATTTTTCTTCTTTGTCATGAGATCGTCACTTGTGGAGAACACTGAAATGGGTGATTTAGAAAAAAATCGGCCACCAGGTCTGATTATAGATGACGAGTCCATCAGCTCAAGTTCAACTTTTCCAATCAACGCCTCATCACAGGCCCTGCCGTTGCAGAGGTCATGAATATATACAGTTGGCATCACAGCAATCAGTCGGGTCGACCTCCAGAAGGAGGGGTTGACCGCACGTGAGGCATTGTCACCACTGGTTGTTTTCTTTCTGAATCCATCACTAGACGGCCACCATTGGTGGAACATCCCTCGTCACACCGCCTCCGACTTATTGCGGTGTTGCAACCTGTACCTCGTTGCTAGAAACATTGCCAAGGGTTTCAAAGTTCAGCAGCATTGCTTTTTCGCTTTACTCGTCGGGAAATGATCAGCGCTTCGATAACTATTATCTCATATCAAGCCTGTATGGCAAATCACTACCTTGCCTTACCTCTCGTCCACACAAGCGAACGTCGATATTTTCCTACTTCTTCGAGAAGTCGAGCTATGGATTCGTTATGATTCTCCCAACAATTCGCTTCAATACTCGCGGCAGGCTTCTTGTCGCCGCTATCGGGTGATAATTCATCAGCACCAGAAGAGTCATCATTTTCAGACGCTGCAAGAAAATTCGATTACGGTACTGGAGCGATAGGACTTGAATGTGAACCCCCGTTTTTTCTTTTAAAGGCAGTTGGCACGATGGTTTCCTACTCGGCCTAAAATGCTAGTAGGGCGCTGTATAGTGGGGAAATGGCGAAAGAACGGAGTGAAACGGTCAAAATCCTGCGAAGAAAAAGCCTCCGTTCTCAGTGACTTGTAAATCGATTTCGGACGAGTTTCCCGTACGCATCTTGCCAATCACCGCTACCGAAGATACGGCTGCATATGTGTACCCATATATGCATGCAGCATCACGGCCGCTTCATACCAATCCCTTCGCTTCATAATTTGCTTAGCAAATGAATGAATACGAGCGTCAGGAACGGTCGTTTGTGGGCGGGCGGGCGTGGCGGGCGTTTGGGACGTAAAGTTGTGGCTTGATAGGGCCCTTATAAGGGCACCTTCCTTGGAAAAGCCGCTATGCAGCGCCTGCTCAGGGTCGCGGAATTCCGTCCTGCCAGGCGTATTGATCCTAGTCGTCTTGGGGGATTTATCGTGCCAACTGCCTTTAACAGGACCGATTTACTCAGTTTGTAGGGCACATTCCTCGATGGCCGTATGGAGCATTCAAATCAGCAAAGGATCATAGTCGCCTTACTCATTGATGTGGTCCTCCTTCTACAACACGACGAAAAAGGTGGGTGAGCGAGGAATGAGAGATTGACATTTTCCCCCTCCCCCCTCACCCATTCGGTCATCGCGGAATCAGCCCTTAAAACTCCTTTGCAGGAACAGAATGGGAAGAAGCTATCCGATCCAAGAATCGTATTTCGTAATGAGCGCCTTTGCAAGTTGATTATGGATTAGAGGTCTCACCAACTACTGGTACCTGAACTGTCAAGATATCAAATTGAAAGAAATGTGTGACTGGAATCAGGTCACGTAAAGTCTTGGTAGCTTCTGACACTGAGGCGTGCCAGGGAGGCTGGATCTAGCGCCTCACCAACCCATTCTCCAACTACGAAAGCTCATAGGCAGCCTTATGGTGCACAAAAGCTGGTGTCGCTAAAAACCCAGCTCCCTTAGCACCCCCCACCCCGACAGCGACCATGACGATCCCCGGTTTACTTTGCACTGGATGGTGGGCCTCCTTTGCTAGATATTGAATTTCTCGAAAATTGAGAAAGACTAATGTCCAAGCATAAATTATGCTCACCTGTTTGTCGAGGAAACAAAGAGCTTCTCGAATTGCGGTGTGAATCGACCTATATAAAAACCGTTAGCACAATTATATCAAAAATAATCCTTAGAAAGAATTGGTTAAAAGATTAACATTACAGACCTTATCAGAGCTAGATGAGGGCGCTAGATGAGCATCAGACATTGCTCGAACCATTATTACCAAATATATCTATACAATCATCTAGCAAAGTAATGTGTTGAGTAATTTCCCTGAAAAAGTTCACCTTAGTTACACTGCGTGATTTGTGGTGAAGAAGACATACGAATGTATAGAGGCAGCTCTAGGTATTGTCTGGTTCGCCACGGTACTGAGACGTGTGAGGGGGCTGGGTTTGGCGCGGCGCCAACCCGTTTTCAAAAAATCATCAAAGCGGCAAGACATCAATTGGCGACATCAAGTGACATCAGTAGTGTGTGGAGGATGACAGGGAAACATTTCTACCAGGACACACCATCATTGCCTGGAGGTGGGGGAGTCTATGTGCCTTAGAGAAATTCGCAGCGTTAGGAAAATCTTCCCGGTTGTTGATTTTTCGCGGCTTTCTCTGTTTCACGTGCTGTCCCCCTTCCCCTCTCGACAGCAATATTCTGGGGAAAAGAAGTTGGGAAGACTTAGAAGGTGGTAGGCAAGAGGGGAGGATGGGGAAGGGGGTCGGATTTTCTCCGCGGTTTTCCCCGTTTCGCATGTGCAATGTTCCCCTCCACCTCCACCCACCCCCGCTCGACAGCTCATCGTATCGGAGAAGAGAACTAAGGGAAGCGGGGTCGTATCAAGCCTCGTTCTGGAGAGGGATGGCACGGACTCGGCCAAAACCCCAACCAATAATGTGCCCTGATTTGCATTTGCGCAAGATCGATGATATCTGAAGAAGTTGAAGATTGTTTGTCCCCCTGACCGGAGCCGGAAATCGGAACAGGGAGGAGTGGTGCAAAGCCCGACTGGCGAGAAGATCTTGATGAAGTTCAACTCAAAAATGTCACAACTCAACTTAATGGCTCGAAAACTTTTCCGCCTCTCATGCGCACCGTTTCGGTCACGTAAAAAGCAAAGTTTTCTCCTATTAATTGATTAACGTGCAAGGGGGTTGAGAAAACCGGGTGTAAAAATGAGCGAAACATATAGATGGTAAAGATAAATATCGGGAAGATGTATCACCGTTCTTTGAATTTCATCCCTGCACAGCACAAAGAGGCAGCGAAAAAAAATATTTTTGAAGGCTGCAAGAATCTACTGAAAGGTAGTTTCCGCGTGCCACTCACTTCTCCTAGACCCTACTTGACGCAGGATGAAATTGACAAAATGGAGGAATAAAGGCTTCATTAGCGCCTCTATGACATTGAACGAGTGACAATAACTTTGGCGACTTGTAGGCGTACTGGAATGCAGTAAGGAATCGGTGGAGTTTTACCTTCGTGCATAAGTGTAGTGAGCTAGAGGGTCGAGCCTGTTGTGAGATAGTTGCCAGTTTCTGTTACATTGTTGTCTTATCATTCAGTATTATCAAAATACTTCTTATTTGTTGAAGAGTTCTGTGAAGATTGGATGTGAAATGAAAGTTCAAATTTCAGTGTAGAACAATCGAGAGGATCAACAGAACAACTCTGCTACAGGCAAATCCATCTAATGTTCAGGGGCTGTGCTTTGTCCTGAACAGAAGAAGTGTGCTCTAACGTTGATCAGTCCTCCCTGGGCTGCTCAGCCAATCGAATCGGGGCACGCATCGTTGGGATACCCTTACAGGGGGAGGGGAGGGGGAGCGTATTTGCTTGCTGTTGGGAGAAGTGGGGGTCGCATTTGTCTATGAGTGGAACTCGCGGCTTAGGGAAGAAATTTTCCCAGTGGTTGAGTTTTCACGGTTTTTCCTGTTTCACATGTGATGTATACACCACCTCCTCGCTCGATAGCTCGATCGTGTGAGGAGGGCACCAGGGAAGGAGTCGTACCAAGCCACCTTTTTCTTTTTGGGGGTCCGACGGAGCCGATTCTGAAAACTTCCAAAACTAATGATCACCTGATTTAAATTTCAATAATCGTGGCTGAGCTTTTGAATGCGACAAAGCTGATATCGTGCAATAAGTGCGGGCGTGTCGGAGCACAGAATGAGCTAGCGCAGCAATTCACACAACGGTTGTTCTTCTTGTAATAGATCACAACTGAGTCGTTACGGTGTGGGACGCAGCCGGGTGCTGGGTCACTGCAACACCTCCCTGACAACAGGGCACGCCATCGTTGTGATGATCACAACGGGGGGGGTCGTATTTGGCCGCGAGGGAGGGTGGGTCGTATTTGGTTGCTGTTGGTAGAGGGGCTGCCAAAGATCTATGCAACTACTATTTACGATAGTTGAAAATGATAGGTAGAGTCCTCATCATTGCGGACCGGTGGGGCGTGTCAGCCAGAAGGAGTGCGCACACTGTTGAAGCCGTTCTCAGCCTTTTTGTTGCAACGCGTATGCGACAAAAAGTGGTAGAAAACGAGTAATACGAAGGATATTATACAGTAATGCACTTGCCCGCTTCAAAAACTGGTGCAGAACGACTTTGCCAAACCGCACCAAACGCAGCCGCACTGCCACGCCCCACCGGTCCGCAATGATGAGGACTGTATTCCTCATGACCTTCTCCTCCCCCCCCCCCGCTCCACAGCGAATTTTAGGGGAAAAATAGAAATTTTTCGGAACATCTCGGAGAAACTGGGGAAAAATCTGAGAAATTTTCCTGTTTCACTGATATATACCCTTACCCCAGCTTGACGGAAAATTCCTCGCTGAAAAACTGGAAATTTCCTGGAAAAATCTAGGAAATTGGTAGATGGCATGGTTCCAGGAAATGATCACAACGCGATGGCGTGCCCTGCCTGACACTGCCCCTATTGATAGCCACGATGAACGGTACAAAGGGTTAAGTCATCGCGGCTCATCAGTTTCTTTGTGGGATGCGGCACGCATTCTACTTCCATTCAGAATCGTAGTGGCTTATTGAATGCGATGTGGCCTATACAATGACTTGCGGGGCCAGCCGATGTACAAGTCAGTGTTTTATCCTCCCAGACGAATCTGGTACCAATTTACCGTCCCCGGAGGGTAGAAGGCTTGGTTGGCCTGGGCGGGTGTCGACCGGGATTCGAACCCAGGACCGCGCGAGTGGTAAGCGCGCCACTCCTCACTACATCACCTCCGTTTGTAGTGCTATACAAATGAATATTTGATTCAGGCTGTGATTCAAATTCCACGACTACAGTACGATTGTACCGGGATCTAAGGGTGAATTTGAAGGCCCTGGTCAACTTATTAATGAAGAATAGAGCGTCACGGATCCTTGAAAAGTCCTCAAAGAACCCGGTTTTTTTCAAACACTGGGCGAGCATGCGGCGACTAAAGACACGGAAACGCTCAGCGCGCAGGGGCGAGAGGCCACGTAGGCGCGGGCGAGATCCACACAGCAACATGTAGAGCAATGACGAGAAAGTTGATCAGAACCCCCCGTAGCGGCTATACTTTCGTTGGCATCTGTACTAGCCGTAGGCGGCCGTAGGCGAAGATCTCGTCCACGGAAAATTGCTAGTCCCTTTGCCACGTACATTTGAGAAAGTGGCTCCTCCACCTACATGCCTCCATAGAAAGGATTCCACATCTTATTATCAAATATTTGTATCAAAGAAGGTCGAAATGTGGTGTCGAAGTGTTTCTTTAAGTTCCTGAGGTCCGTACTGATAATCCCATCTACTTGGTAACCGTGAGATGGAAAAATGACTCTGTTGCGGAACGTAGACGAATTGCCGCGAAGATCCCCAAGAATAGTTGGGACCGTCAGTGGATACCAGTGAGATCAGTGTGATGACAAGGACGCACTACGCAAAGTACAATATCAACGCCTAACATAAAAAGCCGGTCACGCGACAGGCACCACTAGCGTTCCAAGGTAAGGAAGTGCAGCCCCCCGGAAAATGTCGTATTTAGGATGCTTATTTGGGTGAAGCTGAAGCGACGAAAGGTTGTTAGACTACTCTGAGAATTTGTTAGACTACTTTGAGAATATGAAGTAGTTAAATTGTCAAATGGAGCAAACTTAATATCTTTTGGGGAATTGGCGATTTGGAATATGTATTGTAGCTCACTAGACAGGCCAAGAATTTCCATGAGAACAGCCGTCAACACAGTTAGGCGAACAGCGTGGACTAATGAGTTGAAAAAAGCGACAGGCAGAGTACAGTAACATTTTAGATATAAGGATTATTTTACTTATGAACTACACGTGATCCTTCAAATTTGGGTAGGCGCCTTTGAGTAAGAACCACTGGAAGATCG